TATCTTATGGGTGATCAATGCTGCTTCTGGATAGTCTTTTATGGAGTTGATCAATAGAAGGTGTTGGATTGCTTGTAGTGACTCTTTCTGCTGTTGAGGGAGTGTCTCTGTTGAGAACCTCTGATGAGTTCTCTTCAGTACCTGTGAGTTCAACTTCCATACCTGTAAGGAATTCATTATGCTTTGACTTTTGAGAGTCAAGCTTATCATCAAACCTAACACTGATTGAATCTTCAACAATCTGTGTTTCTGTATTGTATACTTTGTACCCTCTCGAGCGTTCAGAGTATCCTAACATAATGCACTTTTGTGCTTTAGAGTCAAACTTGTTCAAATAATTTCTTGTATTCAGAATAAAACATGTGCATCCAAATGGGTGAAAATAAGAAATGTTGGGCTTTCTGTTCTTCCACAATTCATATGGAGTCTTTTCTAGAATAGGTCTTATGGAGATTCTATTCTAAATGTAACACGCTGTGTTTATTGCCTCTGCCCAAAAGATATTAGCAATGTTAGTCTCGTTGATCATGGTTCTGGCCATTTCTTGCAATGTTCTGTTATTTTGTTCTACAACTCCATTTTGCTGGGGAGTTCTAGGACAAGAGAAATCATGCAGAATGCCTTTTTCATTAAAGAATAATTCAAAATCTTTATTTTCAAATTCTCCACCATGATCACTTCTGACTTTGACAATTCTAAGATCCTTTTCATTCTGAACTTGGTTGCAGAAGGTAACAAACACAGAGTGTGACTCGTCCTTGTGTCTTAAGAACTTTACCCATGTCCATCTGCTATAGTCATCTACGATTACTAACCCATACTTCTTGCCACTGACTGAAGCAGTTTTTACTGGTCCAAATAAGTCAATGTGCAGAAGTTCTAATGGCTTAGAGGTGGAAACAACATTTTTGGATTTGAAAGCAGGTTTTGCAAATTTTCCTTTCTGACATGCTTCACACAGAGCATCTGAATTGAACTTCAAGTTAGGAAGTGCTCTGACCAAATTGAGTTTGTTAATCTGAGATATTCTTATCATACTAACATGTCCCAATCATTTGTGCCAGATCCATTGCTCGTTGTTAACAGATAGTAGACATTTTACATTCTGACTCTTTAGTTCAGAAAGTTTTATTTTATAAATGTTGTTTTTCCTCTTTCCATTAAATAAGATAGTCCCATCTTTCTGACTAACAGCTTTGCATGAATTTTGATTGAAGATTATATCATAACCATTATCACTTAATTGACTTATGGATAACAAATTATGCATTAATCCATAAACTAATAAAACATTACTTATAGAGGGAAGATTTCGATTACCTACTGTTCCAGAGCCAATGATCTTTCCTCTCAGATTGCCTCCAAAGCCCACGTGGCCTCCAGGCTTAAGTTCCAGGCTTTGGAACATATGCCTTCTTCCCGTCATGTGTCATGAGCAGCCAGAGTCCAGGTACCATGATTGGTGTCTTAGCCTTGCTGCTAAAGATATCTGCCACATGTATGATTTTATCCTTAGGTACCCACATTTTCTTGGGTCCTAATTTGTTAGTTTTACCAAAATTCTAATTGAATTTTGGTTTGACAGAATAATCACTACTTGTGTATTTTATGTCATGTATGTGCCCATATATAAAATGTGAATTAAGTGGTGTGCGTTTTATAACAAAGTCCATGGCATTTTTTGGTGTAGGTACCTTACCTAGATATCCTATCCCTTTTCTGCCATTTCTGCTAACTCCATAGATCATTGAAGCCATTTTGCTTATGTCTATGTTTTTAGCTAGAAACTTCTGAAAGCTGTGATCATACTCTTTGATGATCTCATCAGCATTGCTGGGAGTTTCAGAGATTGTTTCCTTCTAAGAGTTTTGCAAATGATTTTCTAATTTTGAATTTTTTTCTCTTAACTCAGAATTCTCCAATCTGAGACTCTCAGTCTTTTCAGAGTCAGAGGCAAGATTCCTTTTTAGGTTTCTGAATTTGACTCTGATCTGCTGATACCTTTCCAGAATTTCATTTAGGCTTTCAACAAGTTCAGCCTTAGTAAAGTTTATGGTAAAGTCAGGGAATACCTCTTCAGTGTCTGATTCTGAATCTGAACCAGAAGCTTCACTGTCTTCTGATACGTTTTCCATGAGAGCTATGTTTGCTCTTTCATCATCTAATTCTGAGTCGGCTTCAGATGTGTCAGAATCATCCCATGTAGCCATGAGGCTTTTCTTCTTTTCCTTGAGAAACTTCTTTTTGGGATTTTCCTTCTGAAGCTTTGGGCAGTCACTTTTGTAGTGTCCTTGCTCATTACATTCATATCAGATGATGTCCTTGTTGTTTGGCTTTCTGTATCCTGAAGAACCTTCAGATCTTCGATGTCCAGAAGAGGACTCAGACTTTCTGTATCTGGAGGAGGATTCATTATGATTCTCTGATCTTCTAGGATTTCTGAACTTCCTTTGTCTTTGCTTCCACAGTTGGTTCACCCTTCTAGAGAGGAGAGACAGTTCATCTTCTTCTGATGAGGATCCATCAGAAGTTTCTTCCACAGCTTGCAAAACTTTGGAGTCATATTTTCTGTTAGATTTTAAATCTAATGGCTTACCTTGCTTTTGAGGTTCGTCTTCTTCTAGCTCTATCTCATGACTTCTGATGGAGCTAACAAGTTCCTCCAGAGAGGTTTTTTTGAGATCTTTGGCTAGCTTAAGTGTTGTGACCATTGGCCTCCATTGTTTGGGCAAGCTTCTGATGATCTTTTTAACGTGATCAGCAGTAGAATACCCTTTGTCAAGAACTTTTAGTCCAGCAACAAGAATTTGAAATCTTGAAAACATAGTTTCTATTGATTCACTATCTTCCTTCTTGAATACCTCATACTTCTGAATGAGCGCAGGGGCCTTGGTTTCTTTGACTTGAATGTTGCCTTCATGCGTCATTCTCAGAGAGTCAAACATATTCTTGGCAGTTTCTCTGTTTGATATTTTCTCATATTTTGAGTATGAGATGGCGCTGAGGAGAATTGTTCTAGCCTTGGGGTGGTTTATGAATTCACGCTTTTGCTGATCAAACATCATTTTCCTATCTATCTTCTTACCACGTCCATCCACAGGATGCGTGTATCCATCAGGCACCATGTCCCACAGATCAACATCATGGGCCAGAAAGAAACTCTCAATTATGTCTTTCCAGTAGTCAAAGTTTTCTCCATCAAAGATTAGAGGTTTACCATTGAATCTGTCCTTGTCTTCATTATTGTCAATGTTGATGTTTTGGCTTGGTCCCACCATAGTGTTTTTTTGAAGCTTGGATCTTGTACTGACACGGTTAAGTGTTTAAGCTTAGAACCAGGCGCTCTAATGCCAATTGAAGATGTGAAAAAAACAAGAAGGGGGGGTTGAATTGAAAACTTGGATCTAAAAAGCTTAATGACACAGTATTTTTATCCTGGTTTGTTTGATCTCAAACTACTCTAGTCCACCCGTCAAGGTGATTTCGCCTCTCTCCAACGAGGTCTTAATCCACTAATCTCAACAAGATTACAAAATCTACTTTAACAACTGTTATAGTCTTCTTGAGTACAACCACAATCCGGTTAATCTCAAGGATCTCTTTTTCAATATGATTATACAATATGTGTTGTTGTCTTTCCAAGAAAAACGGTTTATCACAACTGTGATAAATTACACAGGTTTATAACTTAGAAATAAGAATGAAATTACTTGCAGCTTGAATATGCGTGAGTGGTGATCTATCAAAATTGTTGTATGTACGTGCATGCTTCATTTTGAAAGCTGACTTGTTTATATAGGCAGTGTAATGACATTGATCATAAAGCATGTTTAATGTCATTAACACACTTTCCTTTTGGAGAAGATCCTGTCTGAAGGAAGCCGTTGGAATTAATGATGTCTTGAATGTTCAGTAACGCTTCAGAATCTTTTTTCCTTACTGCTGAAAAATGCTTCAGAATATTGATGACTTGAGTTGATATGTTCTTGTTCAGAGTCAGAGTTTACTTTGATTAAGCGCAGGTTTTGGTCATCAATCTTCAGCGTATGTTCTGATTGCTTCAGCGTGTAGCACTTATGGCTTATCTTCTGATGCTGATTTGATCAGAACTTCTGCATACATAAAACATATTTTTAAGGTGCATATTTGTTCTTTGTATTTATTTATTCTTTGTATTTGTTATCATCAAAACTCTAACCAAGGGTTGTAGAATCAAACTATGTTCTAACATATTTTTCTTCAAAGATTGGTCCCTTCAAAATTTTGCGTCTACATAATTTGTCCCTAACGTGAAGTTACAATAACGACTTCCTATGTGGCAAGACAGGTGGATTAAATAATTTGTTTTATTTTCTGATATGAAATTCATTACATAACTTCCCAAGTTGCATATCTCATGTTTGAAAAGCACATTTCTGCGGCGGTGGTCTAAAACATTGGCGGATCTTCATCTTGTGGTCCCGAACATTGAACAAACTTCAGTTGGTTGATGCGTTGTTGCAGTCCCATCAAAGATTAGGTAAGTCCCACTTGCTATAGTTTATTTATTCCAAGCATTACTTGCATGACCCATGGCCTGGTCCCAAATTCTAGGGTTTTTCATCTTTAATCTATCTATTGGTAATGTCGGAGTTACCCTTGGTTTTTCTTGAAATGTGTAGGAAATGGGGTTATTTAAGGTTTTCTTTTATACCAAAGGGGTCATTTGTAAATGATGAAGGGTTAAAATACAAAGGGGTGATGTTTATGCTGTATGTGGGCAAGATCCTGATTTCTGGTCATACTTTGAAGCATGTGATTTAATTAAGGGTATGGATTCATCGTTTAAAACTGAAGATGTGAAAATATGGTGGAAGTCTGAACATGGCTCACTTGAAAATGATCTAAAACCCCTTGTTAATGATGAGGATGCAACAATGTAAACTAAGTGTGTCGAGGAGACCAAGTGTGATGTTCATATATATACAGAGGCAAGATTATCTAGTGGTGAGAAGACTTATATGGAGAGGTTAAAAGAGAAACAAAAAGGCCACGTTAATGTTGAGGAAAATGAAGATGGCAAGGATAGTGAATCATATAAATACTCATTGAATGGTATACACTTTGAAGATAATGAAGAAGAGAGGATGCACGATTTTGATGAAGACATGGGTGAAGATGCTGGTACAGGTGGAGTGGATAATGGTGATGGTATAGGTCAAATGGATAATGGTCAAGGGATACATAAAGGGTTGACTACAACTGAGATGCAAAGGCAACATTTAATTGAGGATGATCACATCATAGATGAACTTGATAGTGGGGCAAATGATGATAGTGATAGTGGTAGGCCTCCATTGATAAGGTTTAATGAACATGAAAACCTTAGAAAAGAATTTAAATTCAAGGTGGGAATGGAATTTTCTTCTCTGAAGCAATTTAAAAAGGTTGTACTGGAACATAATATATTGAATGGTAGGGAGGTCAGGTTTGCCAAAAATGATGGGACAAGGTGTATGGTTGTTTGTAAGGACAAATAACAATGTGATTACACAGTTTTATGCAGGAGGGTTTTGAGAACTGCATCATTCAGGATCAAAACTCTATTTCAGAAGCACAAATGTGGAAGAAAGTTCTTCAACAAGAATGCTAATTCTGATTGGGGAACTAGAGTGATTGTTGACAAGTTAAACAATAATTCAGGTATGAAATTGAATGAAGTTGTAACAGATGTAAGATTGAGGATTTCTACAGAAAGTATTGAATGTAGGGCTTTCAAAGCGAGGTAGCTAGCTAAAAAGGTTGTTGAAGGGGACTCAGCCAAGCAATACAACATGCTATGGTCATATGAAGCTAAATTGAGGAGGGCATCCAAAGGAAACACATTTAAGTTGAACATTTATGGTTGCCACCTTGGTTTGAAAGGTGCTACATATGATTTTATGGTACAAAGAAAGAATTGAAGGTTGGATGTATACCATTCATAGGGTTAGATGGTTGTCACCTAAAAAACAAATATGGTGGAATCTTATTGATAGTTGTCAGTAGGGATGTCAATGACCAATATCTTCCACTTGCCTTGGGGTTGTGGAGAATAAAACTGGGGACTCTTGGAGTTGGTTTGTTAAGTTACTTCTGGAAGACATTGGTTCGGATAATAGGTGGTGCTTCATGTCTAATCAGCAAAAGGTGTGCTTAATGTTACTTGTTTATTTAGTGTTTAATGTTACTTACTAATGTGGTGGTCATGTATATGCAGGGACTGGTGAATGTATTTGAGGAAGAATATCCTGAGTTTGAACACAGGTTTTTCTTAAGGCATTTATATGCTAACTTTTAGAAGAAGTTTGGGGTGGAACAATATATAGAGATCTCATAATGGTTGCAGCAAAGGAAACCTATTTTGAAGCTCACGAGGATAAGATGAATCAAATTAAGGAGGTAAGTCGAGATGCTTTCGGATGGCTAAATGCTATTCCTAAGAATAAATGGTGTAAACATGCCTTTCCCTTGTACTCTGAGTCTGATGTTCTTATGAACAACCTAAGTGAATCATCCAATGCTACTATTTTGATGCAAATGGATAAACCTATAATTACCATGTGTGATACGGTGGGAGAACTAACTAGAATTTTGTGTTTGTTTTCGCAAATGTTTCAGTTGAGCAAGAGTCGCCACCGACTTTTTATTTTATCCTAAGGAAAGGTTTAAAAAGCACAGCAAAAACCTTTGAGATTTTTCTTGGGTTCGGGGAGTAGATTATAGAAAGGGAAGGTATTAGCACCCTTTCTATCCATGGTTATCCATGGGCTCTTAGGTACTTGCTTAGATCAACTTGCCTTGGTTTTCAATAGTTTGAAATGGTGCTTGGTGTGTGGTTTTGAAAATGTTTTGAAAAGATGCCTTGTATAGGCTACCCTTGTAACAATTCTTTACTCGAATGTTTTACAAAAGGTGTTTTGTCTTTAGAAAAGATGTTTCAAGGTTTTTTTGAAAGTTGGTTTTGAAAGTGTTTGTGAAGTGTGGTTTGAAATTAGGCAAGTGTTTTCTTGGAAAATTGACAAGTACTTAAGAGTTATCAACCCTAAAGTTTTCTCAAAGATTTTTGTTATGTTTTAAACCTTTTGACAATTTTGTTCCACCATTGAATTTGGTGGACAATCTTGTATTAGGAGGTGAAAGGGACAGGCGCGGGTCATTTGTTTAGACCATAATTGCAATAGTGTTAAATGTCTTTGGGCAATTTTTTCTTTAAAAGGGACTTGATCATTCATTTTGGAAACATTTTGAGGGACTATGATCATTTGATTGTTTGTTTTTGTAGGTGTTTAGGTATTGGCTTGCATTTTTGGTAAATCCCAAGTGTATGTGTGAATGTCATGACTGATGTCATAACATTCTAGTTTAGTTTGTACTGACTCATTAGGTACCTTTGCAGAAAAAAATTGTAATTCAAGTACTGATGTTTATAAGTGTGTATCTGAGCATTTTGCAAAATGATCACATTTTGCTAAATCAGTAGACAGGTTTTCTCAGATGTCATAACAGATGTTATGACATCCTGTTCTGAACTAACAGGTTTGCAGGTTGGATAAGTCTGAGTTTTTTCAGGAAAATAACTCAGTCTTTCCTGAACAGAATCCTGCGTTTTCTGAGGGGCAACCTAGCTCAACCCTAACCTGGTTAATAAAGCCATGTGACACGGTCTTTAGGTCAAACGGAATTAACCCTAGGTTTTTGTGGAAACCCTAACTGAAGTTGCAGCTGCTATATATTCAACAGAGCTGCTGTTTTTCAAGGCACCCCATTTATTGATCAGAAGATCATTTGTAATCTGTATAGATTTGATTATTGTACTCCAAGCAATTATCATTGTGATAAGTGACTTGGAATAGGTTTCAAATTGTAAGGGTTGTGTAGCACTCAAAGCTTTGAAGCAAGAGTGTTTGAATGTTCCTTTACTAAAGCTGTGAAGCAGAGTCAAGTTAGTTGTGTGCATCACTCAAAGCTGTGAAGCACGAGTGATTGTGTTGCTTGATTAAAAAGCTGTGAAGCTTAATCAAGTGTTTGTTTTTGAAGAGTGTCTTCATCAATTCTTAAGTCAAATTGGTTTATGTATCACTGCTGTGATTGAGGGGGAGTGAGTAGGAACTCAGGTTTAAGTTGTACTTAGATTGGAATTGCATTGGGTAGGTCTTAAGTGAAGGAGATAAACTGGTTGGTTTATTCCTGAATTAACATCTCTTATAGTGGATTTCCTCCCTGGCTTGGTAGCCCCCAGAGTAGGTGTTGTTGCACACTGAACTGGGTAAACAATTGACTGTGTTCTTTATTGCTTTTGTATTTACTGTCATATAGTAAGTCAGATACAGTGTCATAACATTGAACGTGACATTGAGTATCTGCAGCCAGAATTTCAATTGGTATCAGAGCAGGCACCCTGCCTGTATTACTGGGTAAGATCTAGGGATATCACTTTCTGGCACTATGGACAAAGAAGGAGTTTTTGGAAATAGACCACCCATTCTGGATGGAACTAATTATGACTACTGGAAACCTCGTATGATTGCCTTCCTAAAATCTCTGGACAAAAAGGCTTGGAGAGCTGCTGACAAAGGATGGATTCATCCCACCATAACTGAGAAAGATGGGACAATCAGTTTGAAGCCTGAGGAAGATTGGAGTAAAGAAGAAGATGAGTTAGCTCTGGGAAATTCAAAAGCTTTAAATGCCTTGTTCAATGGAATTGATAGAAACATTTTCAGACTAGTACATCAATATGAACTGGCCAAGGAAGTTTGGGACACTCTCAAAACTACTCATGAGGGCACTTCCAAAGTAAAAATGTCAAGGCTTCAGATGTTGACCACCAAGTTTGAGAATCTAAAAATGATGGAAGATGAAACCATTCATGAGTTTCACATGAACATCTTGGAGATTGCCAACACCTCAGGAGCACTGGGAGAAAAGATGTCAGAAGAAAAACTGGTAAGGAAGATTCTCAGATCCTTGCCTAAAATATTTGCAATGAAGGTAACTGCCATAGAGGAAGCCCAGGACATCAACAAGTTGAAAGTGGATGAACTTATTGGGTCTCTTCAGACTTTTGAGATGGGGATCACTGATAATGGTGACAAGAAGAACAAAAGCATAGCACTTGTATCCAACACTGATGTTGAAAACAAGGAGGATGAAGAAGAAAATATATCAGAAGCTATTGCCATGCTTGGAAGACAGTTCAACAAGCTCATCAAAAGAATGGATCCAAAGTCAAGGTCTAATGTTCATAACATTCCCTCTGACATTGACAGTTCCAGCAGAAGACCAAGGTCAGAAGATAAGGGAAACCAAGGCAGAGGTATTCAATGCCATGGATGTGAAGGATATGGACATATTCGAGCTGAATGTCCTACCTTTCTTAAGAAACAAAAGAAAGGAATGACTTTTACTTGGTCTGACTATGATTCAGAAAGTAATTCTGAAGAAGAATCTTCCAAACTAGTTACTGCTCTAACTAGTGTTTGTACTTCTGAAAGTGACACTAGTGATGAAGAAGTGACATTTGAAGAACTGGCTGATACCTACAAGAAATTGTGTATCAGAAGTGCTGAAGTCTGTGTGCAGAATGAGAAACAATCAAAACTCATTATAAAGCTGGAGGCGGAAAAAAGGGCAGATCTTGAAACTATAAGTCACCTAGAAGGGGAAGTTCAATTACTGAACTCACAACTGAACCAAATGACAAAATCTGTCAAGATGTTGACCAATGGATCAGATAAATTGGAAGAGATCCTACAAGTGGGACAAAATGTGGGAAACAAATCTGGTCTAGGATTTGTGGAAGCTAAGAAACCTGGTGCAGACAAGAAGATCAGGCATGTTAAACAATTGTCAAAGCAGATGTCTCAACACAACTCTCAACATCAGAAATACATGAAGAAAAAATACCAAAGATGGAGATGTCATCATTGTGGGAGGTATGGACACATAAAGCCCTTCTGCTTCAAATTGCATGGATACTCTAATCAAAACTCTGGTGCTAAACCTAAGCCAAAAAGGGTACCACATACTCCTCATTGGAAGAAAAAGGCTACTGTCCTGATAGCCCATACTTCCCTGAGAGTGTCTGCAAAGGAAGGCTGGTACTTTGACAGTGGATGTTCCAGACACATGACTGGATTCAAATATCTCCTCAATAATGTTATGCCTCACACCACCAGTTTTGTGACCTTTGGAGATGGTGCTAAAGGTGAAGTCAAAGGAGTTGGTAATTTGGACTGTCCTGGAGTTCCAAGTCTGAATAAAGTACTGCTGGTAAAAGGGTTGACTGCTAATCTCATTAGTATCAGTCAATTATGTGATCTAGGATTCAAGGTCAACTTCTCAAGATCTGAATGTCTAGTAATTAATGAAAAACTAGAAGTTGTAATGAGAGGAATCAGATCCAAAGATAACTGCTACTTGTGGCAGCCTGAGAACACTGATATCTCCACTATGTGTCAAATTATCAAAGAAGAAAAAGAGATGAAACTGTGGCAGCATAAGCCTGGTCCCCTTCATCTAAGAAGAATGAAAAGAGCTATTTCTATGGAAGCAGTCAGAAGAACTCCAAAACTACAGGATGATAATATCTGTGATGTGGCAAATAAACTTGAAGAAGGATGTGTTGTCAGAACCATAAGTCATCTTGACAAGGATGTTGGAAATAACAAGTCCAATAAATTCTGTTTCCCTGAAGAAATGAGGCTTGAAGTCTCCTCTCCTATAACTCTCCATCAAAATGGACTGGACAAACAGAAAATTATTCAAGAATCAACCAGAACTATGATTCATATCAAAAGAATGCCTTCCCAATTCTGTGCGGAAATAGTTGCTGCTAGGAAAAACTGTTCTCAAAACATCTGGTCAAAACAGATGCTCCCTGAGTACAATGTCACACAAGATGTTGTGACATTGTGTTGTGACAATCTGAATACAATCAACATTTCCTTGAAACCTATTGACTTTGAAGAGAAGAAGTCATTTAAACTGGAACATAGTTTCTCTAAGCTTCAGCTGACTGATTCTTCTACCAAGGCTCTTGTTGGAAATAAACTTGAAAATTTGAGGGGCAGGTTGGGTATTCACCAACATAAGATTTTATAGCAATTAATTTTGCTTAAAACAAAGGTTGAAGGAATTAATTTTATTAAGTCTATCTTTAGTGAGTTAATCATATACTTTCACAATTCTTTCAAAATCTTTAAGAAGTTGAAAAGATTCCCTTTTA